AAAAAAAAAAAAAAAAAAAAAAGAAATGAATTAGTGTCTGCTGATGAAAACTAAGTTGCAAGCTGGATCAGCCATAAAGAATGGGCAAAGAAGTCTGTATTGCCAGTAGGTGGCAGTCAAGGGGCCTGCAGGTGTGGCAGAGATAAAAAGCTATTGCCTAGGGAAAAAGTCTGTCTATATTTAGAACTCTCCAGTCCCCAAGCCACCTGAGATGGTAAGGCCACAGGATAGATGCATATGAGCTGCAACAAGAACAATCAACAGGACACCAAGCATACAAAGCAGACCCGCAGGGACGTGTGCCATTCAAGTTGTGGCTGGGAGTTTATGGGGGAAGTTCCAAGAGGCACACAGGCCACCAGGGTGGGGCCTGCAGGTCAGTCTGTTCTTGAGCCCCTACCCATGCCTGGCACCCTACCCAGGAAAAAGGATAAAAATTAATGTAAGTCAGAATGGGGAGTCTCCCCTGGAGAGAAGACACTGGAGGTGGTCAGAATGTCCAACATATCGGCAGCAGATATAGGGAAACCTACAAAACCTAAAAAGCAGAAGAGATTTGCCCAAAGTGACCAGAGAGGGTGGCACCTGTGGCTCAAGGGAGTAGGGCACCGGCCCCATATACCAGAGGTGGCGGGTTCAAACCTGGCCCTGGCCAAAAACTGCCCAAAAAACCCAACTTTGTCAACCATAGTGACCAGAGAATTTACATGAACCAGACTTTGAAGCATCTCCATGTTAGCTGCAAGCATGCCCCGCAGGGCAGTCCACATTACCTCACTGGAGCCCCTCCAGCACTTCCTAAATGATCATATTACTGTTCCCATGTTATGGATGAGGAAAGTGAGGCTGAGAGGGTACATTTCATGCTTAAAGCAATAAAGCTGGTACCAGACAACCAAGGCTTGTGACCAAGGTTGGTACCATCCAGAGCCTCAGCACAGCACGGGTCTGCATATTCATATCCAATCTGATTCTCTGGGGGAGGCTTGGCCCCTTTTCCCTGGAGAAGAAAAGTGCTGCGCTGCCTCAGGTCTAGTAGCAGAGCCTGGATTGAAACCCAAGTCCCTGGCTTGCCATTGAGGGTCTAGAAAGAGACCCCATGTTTGTTGTTTTTTCTTTCATTCCTTGTCCTCATTGTGTCCAGATCTGTGTGCACCTTGGCCCTAGCACTGGGCTTTTACTGGTACTGCAGGGGGTGAAGGGAAAGACGCCCATTTACTCAGGCGTTATTTTTTCTCATTGTGATGATGGAGGAATTAAGGCCAAGAGAGGGAAGTAACTTGCCCAAAATGGTGAATAAGTGACAGAACTGAGAGCAGGAGCTGGGTCTCCCAATATCCCCCGCCAACCATGGGGCCCAACCTCCATCTGCTGTGTGAGCTCCCTCTGCATTTCCTGCTGAGCCCACACACTCATGCCAGGCCTTTGGGAAGCACTTCCTGGACATCTCTACGTTATGCAGCATTTGCTGAGTGTTATTATGTGCCGAGCACAAGAATCAGAAATAAAGATGCAACTTAACAGGGGGCCAAGATATGCAAATAACGCTTGATAAAATATTATAGCCCCACCCCACCCCCAGTGGATCCTCTGTGAAGCATGAGAGGCATAGGAAGTGGTCAGATCTTCCCTGGATGGGCAGGTAAGAGGGCAGCTGAATCTTAAATAACGAAAGGATGAGAAAGTAGAGGGGACATTAGGAGTAGCAGCCCTTGAAAGGTAAGCTTTTTTCTGGGTCACTGGGGGCCCCTCAAACTACCTGCAGTGGTACTAATATGGCAAGAAGATGGCTTGTCAGGGATGTCAAGGGTCTCTCCTGATGGGACCATCTTTTGATGAGGTGGCAGCACAGGCTCTGGTTCAGATCCCAGTCTGCCAACTGACTGGGTCACTTTCCCTGCTTCTTCAGACCTGTTTCCTTACTGTAAATTGTGTATAGTGATAGCACCTGTCTCACCTGCTTGTGGCGAGGATTATACGCTTTCATATGATGGGAAGTGCTCAGAGCAGCCCAAGATACACGAGTGCCGTCTAAGATCAGGTACCCTCATTAAGGGACTTGGGAGCCACTTCAAGGAGTCTCCTTGAAAGTAGTGGGAGCTCAGGCAGGGGTCCCAGCAGAGAAGTATTGAGGCAAGCTGTGGGATAAGACTTGGGAAGTGTGCCAGAGGTCAGGGGAATGCGATGAGGACTCAACGTGAGACAGTGCTGGGACTGGTGAGGTAGTGACCAGCCAGCTGGAGTGGGAGCAGTGTTTAGAACAGGCCCGGATTTCTGGTGTAGGTGGCTGCAAGGAAAGGAGGGCCCTTCCCTGACATGGATGCTTTGGGACCTAGCAATCTCACTTCTGGGTATTTCCCCAAAAGATTTGAAATCAGTCTGTCAAAGAGATGTTTCATTTCCACATTCATTGCAGCGTTCTTCCCAATGGCCAAGACATGGACTCAACCTAAATGTCCATCAACAGATGAATGGATAAAGAAACTCTGGCATAGATGCATAAGGGAATACCATTCGGCCTTAAAAACAAAAGAAATATGGTCACTTACTATAACATAAATAGAATTGGAGAAATTATGCTAAGTGTCATAAGCCAGGCACAGAAAGACAAATTATATGTGAAATCTAAAACAGTCAAACTCAAAGAAGCAGGGAGCACATTGGTGGTTAAGAGGCTGAGGGGTGAGGGGTCAGGACATGATGGTCAAAGGACGCCAAATCACGTTTGGACAAGAGGAGCAAGGGTTTTTGGAAGATCCATGGCATAGCATGCTGAGTATCTTTAACAATAGTATATTGTACAAAACTGCTACAAGAATAAATATCAAATGTCCTTACTACAAAAAAATAATAGTTAAGGTAATAATGTTAATTAGCTTGATTTAATTATTCCATACTATATTCATAAACCATAACTTCGCTTTGCACCCCACAAATATATACAATTATAAATCGTCAACCTATAAGGCTGGGCACAGAAGCTCATGCCTGTAATCCTAGCACTTTAGGAGGCCAAGGCAAAAGGATTGCTTGAGCTCAGGAGTTTGAGACCAGCCTGAGTAAGAGTGAGACCCCATCTCTACTAAAAACAGAAAAATTAGCCAGGTGTCATGGCAGGTGCCTATAGTCTCAGCTACTTGGGAG